AATCAAAGGAAAAGATGGGCATTGAGAAAGGACAAGTTTCCAACGGGCAAACATAGAAAAGAAAAGCAAAAGGCCTCACGAAGCATCTAAATCCTCTTTATCATCTGCATACACTCACACTTTCAGAAGGATCTCAGATGATTAAAAAAAAAGATACTGACCAGATGTGTTAAGAAATAATTTGGAACTTCTCCAAATTACTAAAAAGCAATTGTAACAAAAATCATTTTTTCTTTCCAGAATGAAAGAGACTCTTGAAAAATTAATGGTTGCAGAGACAAAGGCTAATGACTAATTTAACAGAGGAAAATGTGTGCCCGCAAGTGCACAGTTTGAGTATTTTTGAGATGTAAGTGTGTAGACTTAAACAGCCCTATTCCTGCTCCCTCACTGAATAATGTGACTGATTTAGGTTAAAATATTAACATTTGGGAAGAAGGACGGTATTTTTCATGCAGGTCGTTTTCCCATTCCAGCCTATCATGCAACCTTCATGCACTCCCCAAATGAGGGAACCGCAGAAACATGATGGAACACCAAGGTTGGAGCTGTTTAAATCAGCCCTAGTGCCAAAAGAAACATCAAACTAAAATCAAAGTTTTCTTTCCGCATCTAACCTCTTCACTAGCCTAAGTAATTGTATTTTTTTTTTCAAGTGCAAATAAGGTGCTCAAGTTCATTTTATCTTTACACCAAATTCTTATTAGCTGGCTCAACAGTCAAGCCGTCTCAGCTACGTACATGGACTTTGAAGAAACTCGAATAGAGATCCTTGGAGAACTTCTCTGGTGGGTAAAGATCATTATTAAAGTACATCTCCAAACCAAAGTAAATATACAAGTCAATAAATAATGTGTGGGAGACAAAGTAAAGCTCAAATCTTGAAAGAACAGACTTCAGAAACTCTTCATGCTCATATGAAGCACATCTCCAGCACAAACAAATCATTAGTTTGTGTTGTGAAGGGGTTTACTACTAGTAGGATACATCAGAAGATCCTAGGTGGAACAGAAAAGGGTGTATTAGCTGGATGCTTTTTAGTAGATATTGCCTTAAGAACTCTGATAATGTCAGCAGATGATGTACTTCCCAGGCCTCCCAGCTCCTCCCCAAACCAAAAATAACCCCCCTCCCTGAAAAATGTAAGTTCTCATTTCCCAAATGGGATCCCTCTATTCTGAATCCTGAAGAAGAATTCTGTTAAAGGCTTGTCAAAGTCACACTAAGAAGAGGATCTGCCTGCCACTGTTTGACTTGCAGTTTGAAAAGACAGACAAGCTTGAAATTTGAAGTAAGTGATTTTCCAAAAAGATGGAAAGTAGACTTTTTAGAAACATCTCTGCTTAGGTCCAAATATGATGAATTTCTTTCCAGTTTGGAGTAATAAAAACTGACCCTCCTTTATCACCTCCTGAATTCCAGTTCTTTTTAGCTAAAGAAGTAAGGAATGAGATGAGCCCATTGAACTCAGGAGGAACTGCAGAGTTTATCTTGAAAACAGAAGTTCTGTTTCCTGAGTTCAAAATACTGAACAGATTTTGTAAGGATAATTTTGTTCTGGAGCTTCCTCTTGATGATGCTGGACTCCAATAACCCAGACTGAATCTTTTCATTATCAAAGCAACAATTAGGTACCTTTATGGTAAAACTCCTTTAAGGAGACATTGCAGAATAAGCCACTAGAATGAGTCACCCAAAATGAAAGTTTAACTTCTCACTTTGATTTTTTTTTTTTTCCACAGGTGGGCACTGAATTATGTCAAAAAAGTTTAAGATGTATTATTCTGAGGGAATTCAGCTAAAGTAAACAGTAAGTGAAAATTACCACTAATTAAACTTTCACTCCAAGATCCAGCTCTTTAGGTTCAAGATGCAAAGAAATTGGGTAGGGCTGATAACCCCCGAGGGTTATTCTGAAGAATATATAGTATGTCATACAAAATAAAATAGCAATCTGGATAAAAAGACAGTCTGAAATAAAATTTGAATAATTCTGTGTGTACCAAGGTAACAGAAAAACTATTTTATACTTTTTACTTTAAAATATGACGAAGTGCTCACTCTTCTAGCATTCCTACAAAAAATAATATGGAAGTAATATATAACATGCACTCTTTGCAATTCAGCCTTAAAGCAAAATATATCAGAATTTTCCCTACTATATGCTCATATAGCTTTTTAAAATTTATTAGTTAAATGTTTTTCCTTTAATGCAAATTATCAAAACAATCTTAATTATATACTTGGAGACTTTGGAATTTATATTTCTACAATTTCTCTTTTATGAATGCACATTTATGCAGAAGACCTGAAATGAATACAAAGACACTTACTGGGCTGCAGATCTATGGGAGAACAGGGGCTGTGTGAAGGTTGAGCTATTGCCTGCTCTACTTGAATGGATTTTCCATCTTAAATTCTGCAGCTTTAGAATAAACTGCTTCCAAATGTATTTTCTGTTATGAATTTGGTATTTTATTGGGCCGGCAGCTTAGAACAAACAGTATCTAATGAGATTTTTAAAGCGTTATACAAACATATTATCTGTTGCATAGTTATAAGTGGCTAACCACCCAGTAGCACACACTTAGGAGCAATTATTTATACCAATCACTACTTTATATTTATTCCTTCAACAAAATGCACATAAATTATAATACATCATATACCTCTGACTGTAGCAAAATAGCAGCCGTGTCCCCCACCCCCTCCACTGGCTTATTTCTTGTGGGTTTGGAGCCTTTTTTGCTTTCTGGATGGAGGATATCAGGTCTCTTAAAAGTGATCATGGAAATGACAGATCTTTGCTTTGGCAGCAGTAACAGGTGCTCCTGTAATCCTGCTTATTACCCTATTCCTTCATTATTAGACATTTACAATCCAATCATATCCAGTGTCATAATGCTCCCTTTTAATTTATTCTACAACCATGATGAATAAAGAGACTTTTAGGACTAACTATTTCATAAACAAGAAATGAAACTGTTCCAGCTCAGGCATCTTTCACATAAACAGATGCTATGCCATAAACTTCTTTGTTTTGTGTTGCTTTATAGCGATGACATCTGTTTGACAAGGGATTGCTGTACTGCAGTGATGTTGCAATTTGATTATAAATTGGTTCTGAAATAATTTAAGCATTTCACAGTATGAGTTAATAAAAGTTTAAAAGGAGAACAGTTTTCATTCAAGCCACATTACTAAGTTTCATGTGGGGTAAACAATCAATTAAAGTGCACGGCTGTAGCACTTTTATAAGATAATAATGAGAAAAAATAATTTTTAAAAAATCTCTGAAGTAATTAAATTGAAAGCAGTCAGGGCTCCTCTTTGATGGATGTTAAGATACAAGATCACGATGTAAATTCTAAAACCACCTTATTAAAATGTACTGTTTTCAAAAGCAGATAGGCGTCTTGATTTTCAGTCACTTTAACAGAACTTTATCTCAAGAGGTACAGTTTTCTCCAAAATCTGATATGTTTCCAGCTTTGTAAGGTAGTTATTCCTTTATCATGCTATCTTTAAAAATCTTGGTTTAAACCAGACAAAACATTGTCAAAAGTAATAGTCCCAGCTGTGCTCACAGGTATTTGTAAACAGCTAAACTAACATTAATTTCCTATCACCTCCATGAAAACATTTATGCGATTTCTTCTGAAAGAAAAAACCCAAACCTACTTAACAGGGATCGTTCCCACTACCAGCAGACCCTCTCTAGCCTTTCTTCTGTTTCCCCCTGACTTCAGATGGCTCTCTCAGGCTTAAGTCTCAGGGATATAATAAGCACTACAGATCAGTTTCCTGAATTTAAATGCCTTCTGCATTGATGAGGGCAAAAAAGAGCCAGGAAGGGTCATTTTACTTGAGGGTGATGAAGTAATTAACTTTTGTGTTTCTAACTTGCATACTGAAAGCCAGAAAACGTGAGCTAACAGAAGTCAACAGTTAAGAATGACATTTTATTCGGACATGTACCATTTTGCTTTGGACAAACCATCCATGGTTCAAGCTGTCCACCCTGGTTCATGATGGTTAGAACTGTTTTTCACAAGCAGTTGCATCAATTTCAGTGATTACTTTCAGATTCACTGATCAGCTGTAGGGCAGAAAGTAGAACCCAGAAGTTTCAACTGCAATCTAAGTAGTATTATAGTGCACATTTCACTGTCTAAACAAACAAGGGACCATAGTTAGGACAGAAGAGAGCTATGTGCACAAAATGGAAGTGCTTCAGCCAACAGTTTTTCAGAGGTGATATAATTACCAGTATTGTTCCCACAGTGCTCTTTAATTGCAAAATACTAATAATTACAGTGTTGCCTTCAGAATAAAAATGCTGTAAATATTTTCAGGAACTTTAACGCGCCAGAAAAGAGGATGTGCCCAAGTTGCAATAATAAATATTGGGCCTCCAGGACACTCAAAGGATTTCAAGACCACATTTTCTTCAAAACATCAAAATTTGGCTATTTTTTCCCCCTATTTCACTACCCTAACACATCAAGGGTTTGGGTTTTGTTGTTGTTGTTTTTAAAACAAACACTATTAAATTATAAGCAGATACACAGTTACAAAAACATTTAGAAAATGCGTACCTACTGTTACCCTGGCAGCTATTACAGATACAGGTTGCATTTTTAGAATGCCTTACATTTGCCTCTCTAGGGCTGAAACAAATGACTTATTTTGGCCATTACCATAATTAAACAGAAATTTCTAAACACAGAATGGACGATATTGTATGTATATGCTGACAGCAAACTACATTACCACAGTGAGTTTAAAAGAGGCTTTCTTTTGTTTACTGTAGGTGACTCAGAAAATACTGTAGCTGCTGAAAAGAAGAAGGGAAAAAAAGATTTTTTTCTTAAAAATTCAGAGTAATGCTACATACCAGTTGTTTTTGATAAGGAGACATACAAAGTCCAATTACATGGGGGCTAAAAATGTCTTACCTACCAATAAATGTAAGATAGCTCAAAACTGACTACGGTAAGAACACAGGTGTAAGGTTAGGAACAGGCATGAAAACATTTCAGCATGAGCGAGATCTTAAAACCAGTTTATAAAAAAATAGCAAACAGAAGTAATGTTATGAATGACTTTTTGCAATTTCAGTTGTAAATATAAACAGTACCTTCTCTTTCCTCTGCTTCGTTGGAAACTAGTAGTTTGTTAGATGTAGCTGTTGAAAAGATATCTGGAAGACTGTGCTGTTCTCTTTCATGATTTCGCAGTTGGCTCTGAAAAAACAATTCCCCACATTTAAGTATACACTACAAACATGCAGGGGTCACTTCAAATATTGCAATCATTTGTGACATTGTTACTCAAGTTTTAATGACAACTGTTATAAAATGTATGTGAACATATATATACAGATTATCCCTCAGGTAATTTTACTAGAAACAAAACAAAGTAAGTAATATTAATTAATAACAATAAATAAGGATTGATGAGAGTGACTGAGAGGATTCTATGATTTATGTTTATTTAGAAAATAAATTTCTTTCTTCGCCCATTCCCATAGACAGTGGCGAACAGTTCTTCCTCCAGCATTATTAACTCCAAAAGCATTATTAGATTAAAGGTTAGAGGATGGCTTGTGTGAAAATTGACTCAATTTTCGTATCAGCTAGTGACTTAAGAATACGTTATGCCTGTTTCTACTTGCTGGGGGAAAAGAGGGGAGAGAGAGCCTTTTGCTACCCTACCTGTACATTTTTTCATACTAGGACTAAACAACAGTAAATATGAGAAAATTTGCACTACCATTGCCTACAAGAGTCTCAATTGTACAGCTAGATACTGATGCTATCTATTCTATATCCCTGAGTACTGAACTGAGTACATAGAACACGCTCACCAGCACCAGGATGCTTAAAATAGTGATTATAAAAATGACAGAAGTACATTATTCCACTCTGGTGTGCAATCTTTCAGATCTAAGTTCTACAGATCAACACAACAACGGCAGAAAAAAAGAAAAGAATTTCTGCTTCCAAGTGTCTCTTGTTACCCCCAAATAGCTGTGATTACTTTTGCACACACAACTAGTTTGAGCATTCTTTTAAAGTTTCAACTATTAAGTTCTCTGATGCTTCCATTTCTTCCAGTAGTGGCTCCACATGGGCAGAAAAACAACATGACATTAATATGTCCATAAGATGGTTCTTAGGAAGATAACTTATGTGAGGAAGCAAGTTTATTTCAGTGGGTAATGCAGAATAATTATAGCTGAACTTGATATTCAGAAAGTGCTGCTGGCCATAATCCCCAACTGTAATGACAATGAAGCCAGGATGTCAGACTGAATTCATTCAGTTAGAAAGAGGGATGATCAGTTACCAAAAAAGGAGCAAAACAGGTTATTGAGCTATTATAGACAGGCACAGGAAAGAACTTTACCTTATAATGAAAGGATTCTTCACACTGCTTGCACTGATACATTCTTGTTTTGCAGTGGTTGATCATGTGGCTCTCTAAATCCTTACTATTGTCAGCAATGTGTTCACAGATAGGACACTGGTACGGCTGGCTCAGATGGACTCTCAAGTGCTGTTTTATGTAGCCCTTATTACCACTGCTATAATGGCAGAGGCGGCAGCGGTAGGGTCGATCCACATTAGGTATATATTCTACTAGGTTACTTCCAGGAATATTTGCATCATTTGCATTTTGGCATTGTGCGTTGTCTTGTAATTCTTTCAAAATGTCATCATCAGAAGCATTCTGATCTGTCCTCTCCTTCAGTTTTTCAATGACAGTGAGTAGTGACATACTGATGCCCATTTTAATTGGTGCTTCTGATAACTCTGGCCTTTCTTTCTGTATCTCAACTATTGCACATTCACTTTGGTTTAAGCCACTAAACTCCTCTGAAGGATTCTGAAGTGAGGATACCACTTTAGAATGAGCCAGGCATGGGCCATCAGCTTCAACCTGCAACCCTACACCTGCATCCATGGCATCTTCTCCAGTCAGGGTCCTGAAGTTAGACCTTGTTAGTTCTGCAGCTCTGATAGGCATTGTAACAAGAGCTTCTGCAGCTAATGAGTGTAGTCGTAAAGACTCTGAATTTGTCCTTCTTCGTGCAGGAGGCACATTTTCATCAGTTGGTAAGTTTTTATTGGAGTTTAATTCATTATCTTTCTTCTCAGTATTATTCCATCCTATTATTACTTCTTGAATTGCATCTGAACGATAAACTTCATCAGGTTCTTCACAGGTAACATGGGACTCCTCTGAGATTATTTTTTTCTCTCTTTCTATGTCAGTGTTCATCAAGAAAGGCTTTTGCAAGACACTTTCTTCAGCACCTGGCAAACGCTCTACTATTACATTGACGTGACCTTTTTTATTTGGACTACAATTGATGATTTTCTGTGCTGATGAAAGTAGGCTATCAGCTATCATACTATCCTGTTCTGTATCTGATACAGTCTCCTCTAAAACCTCTGTAGAAGGAGAATGCACTACAGACTGATTTAATGTCTCTTCCTCTTTTACATTTGTTTCTACTGGCGATTTACATGACAGTTGCTCAGAATTGCAAATCTGAAGTTGAAGAGAAGGTTCACTATGGGTATCAAGTTCATTGTTTTCCAAAGAAAGAACAACTGTATCCACACTGTGAGGTGTGTGAGTTACAACTGTCTCTGACAAGCTGGTGGTTTCGTTTTCTTCCTCAAATATAGGATAGGAGCAATCAACCTCGCCTGCGTGTTTCCAAGCGTGTGTTTTCAACATTCTCTGCTGTCCACAGGTGTACCGACAAATTAAACACCGGTACATGCCATACTGCTCATAAGTATACCATTTTCTCCTACCCATTTCAGGCATATGAGAAGACTGAGTTATATCTTTACATTCCAGATTTCCTGTCTGATCAGTCCCTGATTTGACACTTCCTTCCACTGGCCCTTGCAAAAATGAACTTGTAACATTTACACATTGCTGCACTTTTGTCTGGATGCTACTTTTACCATCATTCTCATGGTAATTTTGGAAGTGGGATTCAAGTTCTTCTTGGCTTTTGGAAGCAAAATGACATTCTGAGCACATTAATATCACTTCATTTTTCTGTCCATGTTGTTTTATGTGTTCTTGTAGTGTTAAGAGAGAAGGTGATAGAAACTTACAGAGACTACACTGGTAGCATGTCACCTTTTTTCTGCTTTGTGGAAGACATTCAGTCACAAAATAATCTGCTTGTAACTCTTCAGTCTTTTTAGTAGCAATAACAGATAGCTCAATTGCTTTAGCTGGGATTTCACAAAGATCCTCTGCGTCACAGGACTGTGCAGAAGCATTAGGATGGGACCGTTTTTTCCCTATTAAAAGGCATCTTTGTGACTTCTCGCTTTCAACTATTTTGCTTAGTTTCTGGATAACATGGATTAGTGGATCAGTTTTACATTTTCTCTGATCTTCACTGTTCTGCAGTGTTGGGCCAATGGCTGTTTCAGAAATCAGCACAGCTTCCTGTTCCCCAATATTTGGCATCAATACTGCTACAGTGCTTCCTTCTTCCATAATACCTAAGAGAAAGGGTTTTATAAAAAATTAAAATTTATACATGCACAATAATAAAAATACAACCCAGTACTATTTAGATTTCTCTCTCTACTAAATATTGAAGACTAACGCCACTAACTTAAAAACTTTCCAAATAGCTATATAAGCAGTCAAAGATTTTAAGGACATTTAGTGGATGCTGTAGATGCTATTCAATACAGCTGGACAGAATAATTCCAAGAGAGCCTATAACAGCTGCCTCCAAATTGTAAAAGGGCAAGAGAAATATTTTTCAAGTATACACTGATTAGCATTGTTACAGATATTGTCTTTGTCTTTACAAGGACTACACATTGGAATGCTAGATACTTAAACTTACCAATCAATAGTAAGTGGCATATTAATGTTTAAAAGCCATGATATGATATGAAAATGTATTCCTATCATACTTACTCTGATACACTGATGTCTCCTAAAGCAAATGACAATTTGCAACAACACAATTTACAAAAATAAGCATTTTTTTCCTTGAAATGGTAGGAAAAGAAAGTGATTCTGGTGTTTACTTGCATTAGTCATTTCACTATGACTATATTAAAGACCATTCAAATGTCAAATCATGCTTCTTATTATAAATGTCATTTTCTAGAAAAGCTACTAATTGTAGCTTCTTCTACAATTCCTTAATTGTAGGGAAAATCAATTGGTACTAAAGTTACAAAGAGTAATTTTTTTCTGTTTTGAGGGAAAGCTCAAGGCTGTAACTATTTCCACTTACACTTCCTTTAAATATATCTAACCATAAACCACAAGCAATAATGTGGTACTGTTGGAGGTTAAATTAGAAGCCAATATGTATAAATTTACATGAAAACACACTTTGTGATGTGGGCAAAGCTGTGAGGTGAGGGGTGGAGGTGCTGGTCAAAGTCTTACAGTGAAATTTACTGCTGAAAAAATGTCCAAAAATAACCTTTTCAAGTTCCACTATATACACACACATACATTTTACATACAATATGTATTTTTATATACTATATACAAAACTTAGAATGTAAAGAGATGCCAGATATTTCTTTTATCAGTCTTCCTTGAAAATGTATCTCAAGTTAATCCGTGTGTGGGTTTTTTTTTTTTTGCTAGAAAGATACACAGGCCAAATCAGAACTTCCAAAACTGGTCCTAAAGACCTATAAAATCCACTCTTTTCTACTTATGGATTTAGTCTACAGCAATGTAGTAAACAGACATATGAGAGTGGGTGCACCTTTCCCACTACAGAAAAATTCTGGGCAGAACTACTCGAGTTACCCTTATTTGCCATTCAACTTACAATTCAGGTTATCATTAGAACTATCAATGTAAGCAATGTTAGTATCATTCACACCTCATATCTTCATGTAAAATATTCCAAGTTGAAAATACAGCAATATTTGCCAATTCTGAATCATTAAGAAAGACAAGACTACTCTCTTTGATTATTTTTCAGTGTTAGTTTGAAGACTACTTATTTGGTAATGGCTAAAATCTACACTAAAATGGAAAAAAATAATAAAATATGAAGTCATAGGGCAGCTGGATCCATGATAACTAGAAAACTAAGCTACTTAAGGCCTTATGCCTTTAGCTGGATCTATGTAAGCAGATTAAAAATAATCAATACTGTGCTGCAATAGTAGATCAGTTGTAGGAGACAGAAATTAAAAATCAAATATATTTAAACCAAAAAAGTATCATTTTACATAAGAGCATACCAACTAGCCTGCTGATTTAATTCAAGTTCAGTATCATCTTATTAACAGGAATCAATGTTTGTATCTACAGAGTTACTATTAAGCTGAAACATCCAAGTATTTAACTTTTAAAATATAAAACAGTAGATGTCTCAATGTGCATTTTCTGCTTCTATTTCTACTACATGTTTGGCACAGTATATTGAATGACTAACTCTTGTCCATGTGGCTAGGAAAAATTACAGCCCTTTCATGTAATGTCTCCAATTATATATCAACTTAAAAGACATTTAAGGTTATTATTTGAAAACCATCCTATTTAGCTATTTAAAAATACCTGTTTGTTTCATATGGGCTGTAATATATTTAAAAACCATTATGAAAAGTAAACAAATGTGCTTTTTCCCCTGAAAGCAAATTTAACATTACATGAAGTGCTCAAAGGAATAACGCCTACTTGAAGTATTTTGAATTTGAGAATGAGATAAGGAAAATCATAAGCACATGGTGCTGCTACTTTAAATTACACTTACTGCTTCTAAAACTTTGTAAGAAATGCTAAATAGGAGAGATCCTAGGCAGCCCATAAAAGAAATACGCTGCCACATGCTATTGCTATGGCAAAGAACAAACCAGCGAGAATACTTTCAGATGTATTGCTTCGGGATGCCTGTAGCTGATGTGAGCTCTCAGATGTGTAACTACAGTATACATGTGTTACGTCATTCTTTGTTTAGGGTAAGTTTAATGCTTAGTGCTGCAGGCTTTGGTTTTTAGAGGGATGATAAGGATTGCACACAAATATCTGGATCTTAATAACTACGCCGCTTTTGTTAAGAACAGAGATGATAAAATCTCCCATGACATAAAACTTAAGCCTGGCGATGGCTCTGCCAGCACGCACCCTCTACGTGACCCACACGGTAATTCCAACAGGCGGTCTGGGGCCGACCAAGGGGCTCCAAGGGGAAGATCCAGGCCAGAGGAAAACGCCTCTGCGCTGGAGCTGCCCGTTCCACCTGTGCCAAACACCCACTCGAGCCGCACGGCAGAGA